CCAGGAATTGCATAATTTTCATAAATTTGCAATTTGTATGAACATTTGGATACAAGAATGATATACAGTTTAGTCCCAATTAGGAATGGAATTTAATCTAGGCTGGGGCCCTAAATCTGGTAGAATGCTCATTGTTTTTCCTTTCTCTAACCTTGAGCTCTGCACTTTAGGACTGAGATGGCAGACAAATTGATGAATTTAACTGGGACAAATACTGCATTGACTAAGCACAATGTTCACTGACATGTTCATATGTAATTTAATTTAGCTCTCTAATCAAGCAATGGCATCTAAATAATCTGTCTGTGAGTCTATAGTGTGGAGAAAGTGACCTAGCCTATTGTTATATTCCTTCCTGTCCCCTTAAAATATATACAGGGGAACTGAAATGATGCTGCTACCAAATTCAGACTGTTGTCGATCTTGCTTGCTGAGCTAGCTGCAATCTTTTACTATATTTCCAATCCCACACCAATTCTGGTTTGTTTTTGTTTTTTTGGCTATGTTTAGGAAGAAATGTAAAAAAATTCCTGATGTTCACCTTTTTCCCCAGAAAGTACCTGCAAGATTCATTTATGTACCACTCATCTGCCAAGAACCTTGAGGCTCTTCTCAGGAACTGATAGCACCAGTTTCCTGGAATGGCTTTCCTTGTTTCTGTTTTCTCTCAGATTTTGGGAACATCTGACAGTCCCTTCAAGGGCTAAAGTCACAAACTTCTTTATGAATTCATCTAACCAGTGTGAACTGAATTCTGTCTCCTGCATGACTTACACTTTTTTTAAAGAGGAATTTCTACTGGTGTTACATACAGATTCTGCATGATTGTAGACAAAAAAGTATTTCTGAAACGAGAGAAGCAAATGTTTCTACTAATTAACTGAGTCCTTTGCATCAATTAAATTCTTTGTGCTGTGCCTAAGCGTTTTTCTCATGAAATGGAAGCAAATTTTGTTTTCATGAATATCTTTGAAATGTGTGTTTAAAAAGGAACTTCTCCATCTGAATATGTGAAGCTTTCTTAAATCCCTATGATTTAAGAAGCAATTTCTGATAAATCAACAAGGAGCGGTTGCTTTTTTTGAACCAAGCATGGTGTATGTCAAAGTGTAAAAAGGAACATAAATACAAAGAGAGAAGTATTGATGATTAATGGACTCAGCAACAGGATTTGCTCTATGGTTACATTACTTTGCAAAACATGCATACTTGGATCATTTATCTTTCTTGTCCCAAGCCACAGAACAGTTGCAGTGAGGATTAAGGTCATTAGAAATGTAATAACTTACAATACCTTAGAAAGAAGTATTGTGTTTAAAATGACAGTGTTGTTATTATTATTATTATTCTGATCTGTCTTCTTTTTTTGTAGAAAACTATTAAAAAACCATTACAACAAACATTATTAAATATATGTTTAAACTGTACTTAAATATGCTTTTGTCATGGATAAATATATTCCTGCCAGAGTAACACAGTGCTTATGTGTAATGATGCAGCTAGAATGAGCCAAGCAAAGGTGTCATAAGAATTCCAGAACTGAAAGTGAAACAAAGGACTTTCTCTCCTTCTCTTTGCTTACAGTATCTGTTTGGAGGGCTTAGTGAGGGTTGTAGATCCCTCACGTTAATTTCTATTAACACCTTTTATATTCTTAGGCTAAATCCCACGTTTTCATTTTTAAAATGTTAAAACATAGCAGGAAACAGAAAAATATTAAAAGTATTTAGAAATAAAAAGAGCACACACCCCCTCCAGATCTCTATAAATACCCACAAAAGGGTCACATCACCCTGGGCACAGAGAGAACTGCTCCTGTCTGTGCTCC